AAAAAAAGGTGTATTATAAATGATTTATTAAAATTCAATTTACAGAAGACTCTTAAGAAACATCTACTCCATCAAGGTAAATACACCCATACCAACCACTGTTTCTACAAATATTTCCCAATTAACCTCCACCTGAAGGGTCTATAGCATTAGCATGATACTATTCTATATAAACATAACATGGACAATCTGCCTGCAACCTGGGGGGAACAGGCAACTTATTTCAAAAGAAAACAGATAAAGAAGATTGTTTAATAACCGAAGGAAGAGTATTCTTCTTGTTTTCCTCTTCAGGTATTGTACTCATCATGTCTCTACAATGACAGATCAATATTCTAGATGTTGCTCAAGAAAAAGAATGAAAAGAACACTCTCAGGAAATACAATCTGAATATTCAAGGTGAAGGCAGCTACATACACCTTACTCAATTTTTGGAAAAGACCCTGCTGATTAGCAGCAACCGGGAAGGATTGAAGCTGCTTCCCAGTCCCAGAGGAGAGGAGTGTGGACTAGAATCCTAGGAAGTCATTAGCTCAGGATCAGAGGGAGATGTGCTCAGAACAGTGTGCACTGATCTTACAGAGAATACCTGGGTGTTCCAAGACTCTACTGCATGTATTGTATGCACTTTGACCTTACAGATGTTGTTACTTAGTCTGACAGTTAGGAAAGCACTTTTTCCCTAAATTTTGTGAATACTGGGGAAGAAATGAATCAATCACATCAATGTCACAAGTTTTAAAAAGTTTGTTATCTGAATCTTAATTTTTGTCATTGTTTTGTAAAAATAATAGAAATGCAAAGTAAAATTAATGATGTAAAAATTCTTCAACATCTACCTTTAAGATTTGTGCATTTTACTATACATAAAGTATACCTTAATGACAGAAAAAAGAACATTCATGAAGAATATGAAAGAAACTCAGAATTTTGAATATGGCTCTTAATGGGGTTTTTTATTTCAAGAACATGAATTATTTTTACTTTAGTTTTTTTATTTCCCCCTTTAAAATCTAACATGCCTCATATAACAGGAAGGACTCATGTTTCTTCTACAACCCAAATCTGACTCTAACAAAACAAAATCAGTAAGTTGAGTCACTCTGGTACAAGGAGATAGTCTCCTTCTCTGGTGTATAACTTACCACAGGTAGCGTGAGCCAGGTAGCCACAAGGCGGTTGTTGATCCAACGATACCAAGACTGGTTTACAAACATCAAAGGTAAAAAGGGACCCAGCATGAAAATGCTTCCAAAAAAGCTCCCACAAAACAGTGTGAGTATAAAGTAGATGCCTTTCCATGACACCATGATTCTGAAAGATAACAACAACAAAAAGATATATTTTGTTACTACACATTCAACTGCTCAAATTCAATTTCAGAATGATGCATATAATAATATTTAACTACAGGGCTACAGGAAAGGCTCTGATAAAGGATATAGGAGCATGAATTTATAGAGGTGACCCTCCTGCATAACAAGATGCCAGTATATTAGTATATTAGGTGTAACAAGATGCCAGTATATCAGAAATTGATAGAGTAACTGTCTGACCGCCAAAAAAAAAGTTGTCAAGTTTAAGAAGCTTCTGCTTTTTATCAGTTTATTAGTATTTAAAATAAAACTGTATATTTTTATCCAGGATGTTATCTAGCACAAAATCTTAAAATATCCCAGAGTTTTATTCTATCCAGAAGTAGACATATTAACTAGGAACCGCAGAACAGCTCCCTAAGGGTGAGTACACCTAAAAGTGATGGCAATTTAAAAGAATGCACTACAATAAAAACAAAACGAAAAAACTAGAAATGTTATTTCTTTACATTAGAATCTAAAAATAACATCTTCGGGCCCTTGATCTCCAACTGGTTCTTTATGAGCTGAAGGGTTAAATAGAAGTCAGACTCCCCACCGGCTTTACTAAACTATTTGCCAAAGGATTACTTTAAGGGACCCTCATAACCAGAACATAATACTGATGTTTCAAAATAAATGACTGGAAACACAATCTAAAATGAATAATCAAGCATTTGATTTTACAATCTAAATTATATTAGAGCAAAAATGTGTTTTGCCTCGAGATAATAAAATTGTTGAAAACAATAATGGCCTTAAAATTTATACATTAAAAAAGGTATTCCAGAGATCAAGACCTCTGAATACTTAAAAAGAATCACAACAGGAAACAGAAATAAAATTTCAAATGTCATGGTGCTTTTTAAAAATGTCAGACAAACAACATAACAGGTCAAAGCCCTTACCAACACAGAATCAAGTTTATCTAGGTACTGAGTATATTTTTAAATCTGTACCAGTACGTGACAGTGTGTGTACAAGATCCTTCAAAGTACCAACAGAATAAATATCTACTAAAAAGTGGCCTTTTGCTAAACTCTAGATCTGAACTTATAAGATATGGGGTGAGGGAGTAATGGCTAAGAAAAAGACCACTGGAAAGCAGTAGCCAAACAATTCCCAGAGCTCACATAAGGCTCAGAGAGACTGAATTTCCACAAGTCCTCAACTTTTGTTTCTCTGAGGCTCAGATCCTTCTCTTTGCATTAAAAGACACTATAGGCAGCTTCTCCCCAGTCTTTAACTTAAAGCTGGGGAGAAGCTGCTTTTCATAATGGGGGGAAAAATCTTCTAAGTACAATATTTTCAACTGCTACTTCCTTTTTTTACATCCTCTCCCCAACCAAAATCCTGCAATGCTGCAACTCTGTTCGAAAACCTGTAACTACCTTTTCCTATCTACTGTTTTCTTTTCTGCCAACTAGCCATTAGCTAGCTCTGTGTTTAAACACTCACCCCTAAATTCCCTGCAGAGCTACACTTCACATTGTATCCATATATAACTGCCTTCCCCCTATTAAAGGCTCTAGTCTGCTTCTTCCTCATTTATCAATTTCTGATTGTTAAATGTACACTTACTATATAACCCAGAAATTCCACTCCTGAATGTCCAGGACAAATGAAAACTCAAATGCACACAAAAACCTGTACATAATTACTTATAGCAGCATTATTCACAATCACGGAAAACTGAAAATAAATGTCAGCCAGGGGGTTAATGAACAAACAAACAGTGGTACATCCGCACAATGGAATACTACTCAGCAACAAGGCAAACTACTGATACATGCAACATCTTGAGTTAATCTCAAATACATTATGCTGAGTGGAAGAAGCCAACCTCAAAAGATTATCATTTCTTTTACTGGATGATTTTATTTATATGACACTTTGGACAAGGCAAAACCATTGGAGAGGGAAACAGCAGTGGTTGGCAAAGGTTAGGGGTAGGGAGATGATCTGACTACTAAGGGACAGTACCAGGAAAGATTCAGAGATTGAGGAAACTTCTGTTTCCTGATTACAGTGGTGGTTACAAGACTATGCATTTGTTGAAAACTCACAGAATGTACATTTAAAAAGTGAATTTTACTGTTTGTAGGTTAAAAAATAAATGTAAAAATTATGGTATGTGAGATAACCGAAAGAAAGTTCACTATGCTCTTACGATTTGGGGGATTCCATATTTCTGTATTATTTAAATTATAATAATATCTAAAATGTATCTAGTTTAAAAAATATGCCAGGCACTATCTCAGATATTTTATATGTGTGAACTTGTTTAATATCCACAACAATCCTATGATGTAGGTATTTTTTTTAACCTCGACTTTATAAGAACATGGAGGCACCGAGTGGTTAATTTGCTTAAGGTTGCATGGCTAGTACATGGCAAAGCTAGAATTTGAATCCAGGTAATTTGGTGTCACAGTCCACACTCAGTCTAAAATGCTACACAATGCTTCTTTTTCAAGAATACATTACTTTTGTGATTAAATACACATACTTTAAAGAATTAGGCTATAAAACATAGATGTTACAATTATAACCAAATTTTTTTTTTTTTTTTGTCTTTTTTCGTGTCCGGCAACGGATCGCAACCCTCAGTG